GTGGCGTACGTCGAGTAATAAAATAAAGGTGGATTTTTATGTTTAGTAATAAACTCGAAAGGATCACGCTTCAATATGCGTAACTCTTAAATTTACTTAGTAGCGTAGTTAAAAACGAGGCTCTCGGTTCCGCTGCAGTATGCGGCATATGAAATAGATCGCTGTGTATTTGTTAATTGAACATTAAAGTCTAAGCTTTCACTATGCAAAGTGCACGGCACCCCATTGCACTTGAAAGCATTGGCAGTCAATGCCACGACTGAGCTTAGAATGGACTATTATGTGACGATGGAGCATTAGATGATGGAGTTCCTGTATCCGGCACAACCAGACAAGCTTGTATATCTTATGTATATTGGGTCCAGATGAAGAGTGCACGCGTCCAAATGACGAGATACGGTTATGCTTGCCAAAAAGTGATCTACTTTGAAAAAATGTGCAAGTGAGACATCTTTATGAGCGCATCAATTGGGGACGTTGGTTGGACAGATCGCTTCCACCGTGGTGCTGATTTTGCAAGGCCTGGTCTTTGGCAAAGAGGACATGAAATTCTAACTCGGGATGAGGAATATTGCGATAGCTATACATTTGGTCATGCGCTAAGCAAACAAACTGCGCGTTGCACTTGCGAACTCCACGCTGAAAGTCGCGCGCGAGAATGAGCACTAACGTGCAGTACATCGGTATAGAACGTTCTCACAATGTAATGAATTGAAGCAGCAGATATCATGGGTATAATCTAGAATATAGGTTGCGCTCGAAGTATTATCCATCCGTCAAGGAAGGCTGGAACTCACGAACTGCTGACAGTAGTCAAGAGTTACCACCGCCTCGATAATGTCAGATCAACCGCGGAGGCGGTTACGGCTTTTAATCTCATGGAGGGCCCGATTAAGTTCGGCCCCCAAGGCCTTTCGCGTCTACATTGCTTCCCTTAAGAAAACGATAAACGTTGTGTTAAAAGGAGATAATTGTTGTCGCGACGGCCGGATGGGTAAAAGCTTTACGAGCACGCTCGAGGCGATATGGCTTAGCCATGCCTGAAAAAAATCTTATCTTACAATCCGCTTTGCGGTACTAGCAAATG